GAGTACTGCTGCTGACCATGTCCATCCCTTTATAACCACAGTGTCTCCATCTTCTGATGGCTACTTCCAGCAGGATAACGCAGCATGTCATAAGTGTGAATCATCTCAGACTGGTTTCTTGATCAAGACCATGAGTTCACCGTACTCAAATGGCCTCCACAGTCCCCAGTACTCAATCCAATAGAGCATCTTTGGAATGTGGTGGAACGGTAGATTCGCATCATGAACGTGCAGCCGACAAATCTGCAGCAACTGCGTGATGCTATCATGTCAACATGGAGCAAAATCTCTAAGGAATATTTCCAGTGCCTGGTTGAATCTGACACAGAAGATTAAAGCAGTTCTAGAGACAAAAGGGGGCCAACCCGGCACTAGTAAGGTGTACCTAATAAAGTGGCCGTGAGTGTATAAGCATAGATAACCTGCAGTTATATAGTGTATAGGTGATGTGCAAGCATTTCTCTACTTTCATCCACTGTTGTAAAAAATAGAAATAAAATCGATTTCTACGCAGACTCGTGAGTTTTTGATAGCGTTCTGCTGAACTGTAGTGTCGCCAAACCTCTTTCTGCCAGTCTTCATGAGCCAAATTACAGTGATCGTGCAGCACCTCTGTGCTTGATATGAGCTGAAGCACAGGCTTTTACTGCTTTATTAGCCATGTTTCCATTCAAACATGTGAATTGGACATCTTTATGTGCAAAACTGGAATATGGAATAAAATGGGTTCTCAACTGGTTTGGCCACGGGACCCACATTTTTACATGGTCATCAAGCCGCGACCCAAATTTTTAGGAACTTTAATACAATTTTTGGAATTATAATTAATTTGTATTTATTTGTTAACATAAAAAAGGAGTGACAGATAAATCATAAGAAAATCACCAAGATTTGCAAATAAACTATATTTTACTGCTGTCATTTAACAAAATGGATCAAATTATAGTAATATTACAAAGTAAAAACGACAAATACTGTAAACAGTGGTTAGGGTAAAGAAAGGTTAAGTTATCATTAACTAAACTGAACTGTTAACAAACCAGCAATCTAAAGTAAAATGATTAAAATAATCATTACCATTTTTAGAATAATCACCAGTTATTTGCTCTTCTGCTTTTGTGTGGGCTTTATTGGCCTTGGCTACACGGTGAGCACTGTAAGATGTGCGGAGTGCCTGTACTTGTTTTGAACAAAGATGTTAGGCACTTTTGTGATGCTCTAGAAGTCGTCTTTGAAAATAGTCCACAGGTTTGTCCCTGCAGTTAGGATGTCTGGTTTCTAAATGTTGTTTTAATATAGGATATTTCATGCTCTCTTGTGAGAGCACCTCTCTACATATGACACACTTGAGGTTTTAAGCCTTTTTTGTCGTCAATATATGTAAATCCACACTTTACATATTCGGGGTCGTACTTACGCTGAAATTTCACATGTCAAACGGTACGGTTGTCGCACACGCATTTCAAAATAAAAGTCCGATATAAGCAAAATAAGTTAAAAATTAAACTTTTGATCACACACTCCGCGACCCATTGAAAACGTTCCCACTTTTGGGTCGCAACCCACCAGTTGAGAAATACTGGCATAAAACATTTGTGAATAAAGCAACGTTTTGATCCAATGAGTCAAAGAGAACAACATCGGGACTTCCTGATAAACTAGTGGCGAAAATCAGCAAGACAAGTTTAGTTTTCTGTGGGAGGAGATGGCACTGTGGGCCTTTTTCTTCTATAGAATATGAGTCGTGTCTCAGAAAACGAAACGTAATAAACATGCTGTGGCATTTGGAGGCGTGAGACGCTTTTTGGGAGCGCAAACAGACACTACCTGAGAAATTTTAGGAGTTTCCACGGTGGGCGAGGCAGTGGCGCAGTAGGTAGTGCTGTCGCCTCACAGCAAGAAGGTCGCTGGGTTGCTGTTCGAGCCTCGGCTCAGTTGGTGTTTCTGTGTGGAGTTTGCATGTTCTCCCTGCCTTAGCGTGGGTTTCCTCCGGGTGCTCTGGTTTCCCCCACAGTCCAAAGACATGCGGTACAGGTGAATTGGGTAGGCTAAATTGTCTGTAGTGTATGAGTGTGTGTGTGAATGTGTGTGTGGATGTTTCCCAGTGATGGGTTGCGGCTGGAAGGGCATCCACTGTGTAAAAACTTACTGGATAAGTTGGCGGTTTATTCCGCTGTGGCGACCCCGGATTAATAAAGGGATTAAGCCAGGGGTGGGCAAACTCGGTCCTGGAGGGCCGGTGTCCTGCACAGTTTAGCTCCAACTATAACCAAACACACCTGCTTATAGATTTCTATTGATCTTGAAGACACTGATTAGCATGTTCAGGTGTGTTTGATTAGTGTTGGAGCTAAAGTCTGCAGGACACTGGCTCTCCAGGACCGAGTTTGCCCACCCCTGGACTAAGCCAACAAGAAAATGAATGAATGAATGTTTCCACTGTAGTTTTAGCAGATAAAATGTTGACACTACTCAGTTGTGAGCTTCATTTTTTATGCACATTTTCAAAGTCTATGCACATCTTTGCCTTTCCGTTAAGCACTTTTTTATGTGATATTCCACAATGTGTAGAAAAATGCGCACATAAAAACTCTGTCCTCATCCTCCACTTCTGTTGAACACTAATGAAGATATACTAAAGAGTGCTGAAAATAAAACAATGACTTCAATAGTGTTTTTGTTCCTACTATGAATGTCAATGGCTTCTTTTTTCCCCAACATTCTTCAGAACATCTTCTTTTGTGTTCAACAGAAGAAAGACACTCACAAACACTTTAGTCTGAGTAAATGTTGAGGATATTTACATTTTTCGGTGAACTATTCATTTAATACCTGTGGAAATATAAATTTCTATCAACTAATTCCAACTGAACAATAATCTACGTATAACTGAAAAGTTATATTCTCTGGTTTTTAATTATATAATTTCATTAACATCCTAGCTAGGAGGGACATTTAACCTTTATCTTTCTGATTACAGGCTAAGCCAAAGTAATGCAAGTTGTCAGTTTCACAGCATGGGGTGTCTATTGTTTTCTCTTTTCGATCAAATGGTCAGGCGGTTTCTGTCTCCAGAACATGATGAGATTAGACCTGAGAAGCAGTTTACCCTGCCGACCACAACCCTTAATTTGCATGCTTTGTTTAGCCATATCCCCTCCTCCTAAGAACACAATATAGCCATGAAATCTTTGTCTTAATTCAGACTATTTGCAGACTTGTGTGAGACTTGTGAAAGAACTTGCAGACTGCGGACCTCTAGTAGGCTCTTGCAGACCCATGGAAATCTAAAAGACGCTGTATGACTGCAGATTAACCAGCACATCTCAATAAAGGAATTCTGCTTGTTTCGAGTCTCCTGGACTGGGTTCTCTCTTCTTTTTCACTCATTTATTTTTTTTTTTACAACAAATACCTCAACTAATGGCAATAATGCAGCAGTTTTGCAGTTGACTGGCAGAAATTGATGCGCGTTTACCCTGGTAAAGGCTCTGCAGAGGCGTTTGGATGACGGTGGTGTAGTTTCTGAAGTCCTCCTCCGTCAGCACTCCTCCGTTAGCTTGAACCTGAAAAACAACACAAAACTCAGAGCGTAATGTGATCGGCTGGTGATCTGTTCCCTATTAGCAGAATCTGCTGTCATTTCTGTGTAGAATTCTGTGAAAATCTGTAGATTCATGCAACAGATAAGGGATTTTGAGAATATTCCAGAACATATGACTCAAACTAAAAGCTAAAAGTTCATTCATTCATTTACTTTTCGGCTTAGTGCCTTTATTAATCAGGGGTCGCCACAGTGGAATGAACCACCAATTTATCCAGCATATGTTTTACGCAGGCAAAGCAGTAGGTAGTGCTGTCGCCTCACAGCGAGAAGGTCGCTGGTTCGAGCCTCGGCTCAGTTTGAGATTATGTGTGGAGTTTGGATGTTCTCACTGCCTTCGCGTGGGTTTCCTTCGGGTGCTCCAGTTTCCCCCACAGTCCAAACACATGCGGTACAGGTGAATTGGGAAGGCTAAATTGTCCGTAGTGTATGAGTGTGTGTGTGGATGTTTCCCAGAGATGGGTTGCGGCTGGGAGGGGAATCCGCTGCGGTAAAAACTTGCTGGATAGTTGGTGGTTCATTCCTCTGTGGCGACCCCGGATTAATAAAGGGACCAAGCTGACAAGAAAATGAATGAATGAATGAATTCAGACATACTACTCAGCTCGCATACTGTTTTAACTTACTATATAGTATGGAAGTATTAGTGTTGTAGACCAGGGGTTCCCAAACTTTTCAGCCCGCGACCCCCAAAATGACAATACCAGTGACTCGTGACCCCCAATATTCTCTGAGGTGGTGGTTATAAATACAGAAACCTTGTATGCAATGACGTGCACACACACACCAATAGACCCAAGTCTATTCTTTGTTTTTTTATGTATGTTAGTGCTGTAAATGGGCTAGAAAGTTTAACCTGGTGTTCTAAAATCAATCTGCTGCATCTGACAGTATTGCTGTGCCTTCAGTATAATGTAATTACCAGAGAAGTCGCAATCCAATAGAACTATTAACTATAAGCTACTATAGTAACTATATAGTTTATAGTAACTATAAACGACAATTTTTTCTCTTCAGTAGATTATTGATATAATACAGTAAGTCTTAAGGTTTAATAAAAATTAATTGATTTTTGAAAATCACCAGGCGACCCCCCCCCCCTTCATTGTCCCGCGACCCCTCGGGGGGTCCCGACCCCCACTTTGAGAACCACTGTTCTACACAGTCAAAAGTTTACACACATTTCCTTGGTATTTTTTTAGCTTTTTAAACTGTATAACGTTGGTCAAATGTTTTGGGTATACTTCTACAAGCTTCTCACAATAGTTTGCAGGAATTTAGGCCCATTCCTCCTGACAGAATTGCTGTAACTGCGTCAGATTTGTAGGCTGTCTTGCTAACACAAGCTTTTTCAACTTTGCGCACAAATTTTCTATTGGATTGAGATCAGGGCTTTGTGATGGCCACCTTAAAACATTCACTCTGTTGTCCTTAAAGCACATTTGAACTAATTTCGAACGCAGCCTTAGTCTCAACGTAGCCACACCTCTGATAGCTGAAGGTCTGCTAAATAGCTTTAGTAAATAAACAAATAAAGGAAAGAAGCAAATATAGAGAGAGCATGGGGTGGCATGGAGCAACATCGATATCCAAGGGCATCAGACTGAACGCTCTGCACTTCTGTCACTAATAGATTTGTTCCTCACATTCCTGTAAATATGATGTGAAGCTGTGGTGTTTTCTTTCCTCCAGGATGTCCTGGAAAAATGTGGTCTCGATGGCTGCAGATGTGGCAAGGAATGGATTCAATATCACTCATGAACTGGGTGAGCTTTACCAGTAAACATCCATAGTGGTTTTTACTCTTCATTCCATGTCTCATTCCAATAGGCCTTGGAGACATTGGCTTGAAGTAAATTGTGTTTCAGAGATTACTGTGATTTTATTCTCTTTGCACTAATGTACGCAGGGATTGGTTTAATGTAGGTTTAGTATATTCTCTGAGCTGTTCCTCCTCTCCTGTTTCCTCAGCTGACGCTCTGTCTAAAGTCAAGCAGCAGAACGTGTCAGACTCTTTCAGAGACGTGTTTCTGCCCGCCGGTCAGCCTCCCCTCGCCGGACTCTTCGCTAGACGCC